AAACAGTAGCAGCTCAAAGGAAAAGAGCTGTTAAGTTAAAATGTGGTTTCTGCAATCAAAGAGGAAATCCTTTGTAAGTTCTGTGAAAATATTTTGTTATTCGCATTCCGGTGTAGTGGACAAAACCATGGATGGCACAAAAATCAAATCCCATCACCTGACCACAGTCCAAATATCAAACAACAATCTGATAAGAGAAATCTAACCCAGAATTATTTTCTTACCTGAAATATTAAACTGCTCTCACAGAGCTGTGGTGAGCTGCTTCAGTCTTAGTGATAAGAGGAAGAAGTGAAAAGGCAATCTAACGATGTCTGTCATGGGAACTATAGCTTTATTACTGTTAGTTTCTGTTATGTCACTCACACGCACACAGCTTCCTTTTTTCACTGTCTCTGACTTTGTCCTGGTTTTTGCATAGCGTTATGTCACTTTAGTTTACACAGAAACACATTTATATCACTTGCCCGTTTGTCACTCACACACATAGATGGCTGTTAGATCCTGCAGGATTAACTCAAGTCACAAGAATAATATAAAGATGAAAATGTTGAACACAGACAGTGGGGACGTGGCACATTTGAACATAAATCTCTTTACCAGAGATTTTACCAGTGGAGGCAAAAACAGCAGCATTTCAAAAGAAAAGAGCTGTTGAGTAAAAGTGTGGTTTCTGCAATCAAACAGGAAATGATGTCCTCAGTCACATAAATCCGTCATTTCTGAGAAAATATATTGGGCATTGGGTACATCATTCACCATCTTACAATGCTGTGATTGTAGCGATTCCCCCAACTCTGTGTGAATAGTGCTCATGGCCATTGATCAGTGATGACTATCCAGCACATCCACACTTGTAGCTGCAACAGGTTGCTGCCCCATAGCTGTTGGATTCAACAGAGTTCTGATGGTATCTGCTGAGGCTTAGGCCTTAGCACTTATCTGCATTTTGAAATATGCTAGTTTGTCTTTGGTCACTGTCCTGTTCACCTGAAACGCCTTGGTTTTCAGTAGTGTGTGTGGAAACGTTTCAGTAGTAACGGCCCCAAATAACATAAAAACTGCATGTCAGGCGTCAGATGGTTATGAGACAAACTTTGAAACCACACACACAGAGACACGAATATATACATATACATAATTTATTTGATTTTTAGATATTGTTTGAGTAAATTGTTCCAACAGTCATAGAGATTACAAGTTGCATTGATGGACAATAGATATCAAAGAATAATACTCTTTCATAAATTTGAAGGCATTTAAAAAATGGTCTACTATGTTAAAGAAAAAAATCAAGATCTATAACACATTATATACATATGTACATTTTTTGAGCAACATTTACGATCTTGGTGCCTTCTTCACAATACAATGAAAGTAATAAAAATAATAATAATTTGATTTCATGTGTAGTAACAGACAGATCAAAGTGTCTGCACTCCAGTTTACATTTGTTAAAAACTATAAAATGGACACGTAATCTTCCAAGCATCATAATTACTCAAAAAAAACTTTGCACCCACTGCTGTCAAACTCCTTTCTGCTTTTACAAGATTGTTGTAAACACAGAGCTTCAATCCAAAGACTGATCAGTGCACGGAGTAATTTGGCCACCTGTATAATCTGTCAGAGCCCTTGTATAAACTCCCATCAGACCGTTTTTAAACCGATCCCTCAATTTTAGCCCCATGCAAAAGTACAGCAGTGGGTTCACACAGCTGTTAAAGTAGGCAATGCTCTGTGCTACAGTAAACCAGATTTTCATCACATCATTATCACCATTGATCATTCTCACCATTAAGAGGCAGTGATAAGGTGCCCAGCACAGGAAGAAGCCAATGACCAAACATGCTATTACACGCAGAGGGCGGGACTTCCCTGACAGACGGGTGCGTCGGATTCCCACCCCAGCCAAGGTATAACAGATTAGAATGACCATAAAAGGAAATATGAAGCCACACAGGAAGCGGATGGAGTAGAGAGCAACTTTGGTGCTGTTGTACCCTTCTGCCTTCTCAATCGAGTCCACAGAACATTTAGTCAGGTTGTTGTTGTCTATGTAAGTTTGTCGATGGATGAAGTAGGGAACGCTGAAGAGGATCGCTGCAAGCCAGACGCAGACCGCCACCACCCTCGCTGCCGACAGGGTGCGTCGGCGCTTTGTGAAGACTGGCCACCAGATGCAGACCATTCGATCCAGACTGATCACAGCCAGCAGGAACACAGAGCAGAACATATTGGCATATTTGAAGAAGCCGGTGAACTTACAGAGGAAGAGGCCAAAAGGCCAGTGGTCTGACAAGAACAGCTTAGTGAGAGAGAAGATTCGTGTGAAGCAGAAGATCAGGTCTGCCATCGCCAAATTCACCAACCACACATTGGTGACCGTCAGCTGTTGAGGAAGAAGAAAATAAAAGATGGAAAAGAGATAAGAGGAAGAAAAAATAGAAGAAGCAAGTAACCTGACTGGGATGTTATCTATGCCAATTTACTTATGTCAAAAGCAGTGTGTTAAAAAAGATATAACCACAAGCAGATAAGATAACTTTACAGGTTTAGGTATTATTACCACATATGAAGTTACATTTGGTGTGTGTCAGTTCAAATATCTGCGCGTTTAGAACTCAACCACAAAGAAGCTATTGCACACCAGAGCGTCACTTTGCGAAGGCTACAGCAGATTCATGCTCTGCGAACACGATTCCACTCAGAGGGATGAGAGGGGTTTTCATCCACCCCACACATGCTTCCATGTAGTTCTCCAAAATCCTGACTACATGTCACTGAAAGTGGATGACGTAAGCAAGCAAATGAGGACAGTGGGATGGAAAAACTCCCGTTTAACAGGAAGAAATCTCTGACAGAAGTAAGCTAAGGGAGGTGCGGCCATTTGCCAAGACCAGTTGCAGGTGATCTGAGGAAGATAGGACAGCCAGACTAAGTGTGGAGGCTTCCTGTGAAGCAAAGGAGGATCCAGAGTAACCTGATCAAGTTCTGATATAAGCCAATCTCGAAAATAGAGATTATACAAGATTTGATTATTATTCAAGATCTTGTATTCAAGAAAAAGGATTTTATACCAGGTTCTTGATTTAACAGGGAGCCAATGAAGTGAAGTCTGTATGGGACAAATGTGCTCTCTCTTTCTAGTCCCTGTCAGTACTTGTTGCAGCACCTCTAAAAGCTGTTTCTTTTATAAGCTTCTCGGACGAGACAGGAAACATCTTCAACTTAGTTAATGAAGATCTGTGGTAGCAAATATCATCCTAAGTTAGTCAACTTGTTAATTTGTACTGCAAAAGGATGTATTTTGGTCCATTCTTAGCCCTAAACAAGTACTTTTGATACATAAACCTGAAAGATAAGGGCAGGCTTGGATCAAAACGTAGGAGGTTTGATCCCTGGCTGCTCCAGTCTGCATGCCAAATCTCTTTAGCCAAGATATTAACCCCAAGTTGTTGTTGTTGTTGTTTTCACTGAGCTTTTGTTAAAAAGATAAATGGGAAGCTCAGAAGGCATTTGAAACATATTATATACTTTATATCCACCTTAAGTTTGAAGCCAGCCACCCAGATCACCATGGAGTTCCCTGTGATTCCGAGCACAACGGTGAGCATTAAGAGGACGATGGTGATATTGTGCACTATGGAATTGATGCCCACCATAGTTGCCTGGTCATCCTCAGGTTTGAGAGTGGCGGTGGGCAGCGAGGCATTGAGAAACATTGTGTGCCTGAGAAGGAAAAAAACAGAAACAGAACAGAAAAAATTAAAAATGGCTCCTGAAAGACAGACACAAAAAAAACTATGCACAAAAGAAACATGCAACTTTGCTGCGTTGCTTGAGTGCCTCTCTCTGCATTGATCATATCTTTAAACCACAGTGAAGCAAACCTCTAACAGCCTTTCCTGTGCCTAACAGGAAGACAGATGTGTGCAGCTCTTTTAGGTTAGCCAATAGGCTGGATCCTATGGGCTAAGAGAGATAGAGAAACATCCTCAAACCCCCATCCCAGGGCTTGAGCCTGGGGTGGGACAGGGTTAACTGGTTCTGGACAGTTAACCCAGTTAATAAGCAGAGTAAACTGTTGCAGTGATGTCTCTGGTGTCATAGGGTTTGTGTTTTTTAAGGGTTTTTTTTCTCAGTCACTCTTTGTCTGACCCCTCATCCATGACTAATTTGCCTTGGGAGACCCTATAGCAGGGGTTTCCAAACTACGGCCCATATTTAATAGGCCCACAGGAAATTTTATAAATAGAATAGAATATGGCCCCCACTTCAGCTTTTGCTTGAGTGTATTGCATTTCCTAGTTTTAACACCAGGGGGAGCTACTGTTGATCAAGACAGTTGCTCCATCAAAAAGGACAATCACAGAAGAAATTTACCTCAAGTTACTAAACATGGCAGAACCAAAGAAGCGAAAGGTAGAAAGTGAGTGCAGAAAATTTCAGACACGGTAGGAGAGTGAATATTTCTTCAAAGAATTCAAGGGGA